GTAATGTGTTTTGGGGTTTGAAAGCTACTGGGACATCATGTTTAGAAAATAAACATCTCAGTTTCTCCATGTAGCATCAATTATGCTAATGCTAGCTGTCGCGTTCTCTCATCCTGGCCACACCTCCACTCTCTACATCACTTCCTGTTTCTTCACATGCAAATATCTCAACAACTGTTCATCTCAGTGGCATGAAATTTGTTTTGCAACATGTTATCAATGCTATTCTTCCAAAAACGCATTAATATTCATTACAAAAAATCTGATGTCACAGGCCCTTTAAGACTTTCCTTTTGATAAATCCTATAGTTATGCTTAAGTTTCCTAAGTTATTCCTTGGTTCTGCTGCTATACACTGAAGGACAAACTGACCACCTTTCCTCACTCTGCTGCTGTCTTTAGTCACAATCCTCTACATGTTTGTTGTAATCCTATCAGTAAYTTGTTTTATTTGTCTTTGATTTGTGAAAACGTGATTTAAAAAATATTTCTAAAGCCATGATCGCAGACTGCCGAGGCTTGAAGCAAATGATAAAAATGCTGAACTTCATTGTGAACTCTACCTTCCGATGTCGACCCTCTCCTGCTCCGGCTCTGCTCTGAGCGAGCAGCCCATGTTTGCGTGGCGGGGCAGTTCGTCGGCCTCGTTTGCGYAGCACCACGCAGATCTGGGCGTACACCAGCAGCGTCACGATGAACGGAACATAGAACGAAGCCACAGACGAGTAGACCACAAAGGCCGGGTCTGCGAAGCTGCAGGTGGTGCCTTCACGGTTTGCTGATGCAAGAACATCAAGAGAAGAAATCCACATTATTTCTGCCCTAAACCTGTATCTTCTTTTGTCCTTTTTGATTTTTTTATTCACTACAATCATTTATTTTTTTTCTATCCTGAAAATGTTTGTGTTTGAAACCATTTTGTGCAGTGAAACTGACAAGTTAACAGCTTGAACATTGTATGGTTCTATTATTTTCTGCTGTATTTATTTCAAGCCAACAAACACAAACACTGGACAAGACTTAAATTAAAGAAAACCTCTCTCCAACTGTATGCTGTAATCTGTGGGCAACCCATCACTGAGGAGGGTAAGCTCCTTTTTCACTTTGACTTACATCATTCAGTCTCCCGCTGTTTCTGGCTGCTGGATGTAAGCTCTCACATTACTTTGTAATTCTCACTTATTTTTTTCCAAAGCTCTCTGCTTTGAGTTCAGGCCGAGCGTTTTCAAAGCTTAAGTCCCTCGCCACAGTGGCCATCATTAGTCAGAGGTTAGCTGCTGAGCGCTGCCACCCTCGCTGCTGGTTGAGGTGACAAACTAATCAAAGATTATGGGAGCTTACTTTGTGAAGTCTCAGTCCAGCAGTGGGAACAAATAAAGGGGTGTTAAAAAGTGTCAGGCCTTGTTTTAACTGAGTGTGAATTATTTGATTAGCTGTTTGCTAACATGAACTTTAAAAAAAGCTCAGTATTCAAAGTCTAGAGACAGGTGCACTACAGTAATGTTGGGGCACAGAAAAGCACAAAAGAGAACATGGTGGTAGTTTGTCAGAAGCATATGCAACGATACAGCAACTCCGAGAAGGGGTTATCTGCGGAATCAAAGTGGGCGTGTCACAAGAGTGGGCGTGTCTAAACCATAAATACTATGGGCTACGAGGCTTCCATGACAGTATCCTTAGACCCTGTTTGACCGCTATACAGCCTGACCCTGACCCCAACACTAAGGTTAACCAGGAGAAATGTGACCCAAGTAAGGGTCTCCAGAAAAAGTGGTGCCGTACAGTAACGCCCATTTTGTTCTTGTCCAATTAGGTGRTCCCGTACGGTGACGCCCCTTTTTTGCTTGTCCAGTCAGGTGTGTCCCCTTAAAAATGTCCGTCAAATCAGGTGTGTCGCTTTAGAATCGCCTTTYGCTGTGACACGCCCACTCGTCCGCAGAGACCCCTACTTGGCAACTCCACAACTCGGTTTGGTTCAGTGCTTTAAGTGTCACGGTTTAATATTTATTCAATACAAGATAACATAAAATAAAATAAAAATCCATGCACTTCTTAACTTTTAATTTATTGAAATTTGTTTAACAGGTTAAACATTTGTTTAATACAGTTTTTAAATTTTAAAGTTCCTCTGTGGATCTGCCCTCGACAGTGCAGCCTAGGTGGAGTAGTCGAACACAGATCCACTGAGCTTTCAACACAGCGCATCTTCAGAAGACAAGTTGATAAAATAAAATTTTTAAATCCGTACTGTTCAATAGTAGTGTGTATAGAATTTAGAGCACTGTATTGAATGTTTCCAAAGTAAAAAAAAAAATACTGTTGTAACAAGTAATGAGGGTCAGAAACTGGTCTTGCAATTTGGTCTTTTTCCAGAACACACACTGTGAATCTCACACCAAATGTAACAGTTTTTTTAGGTTTCTCACAGCGGTTAATTCTGGATTTGCAAGACTTAATGAAATAAAAGCAAGATTAACTTTACAATATGTGACTTGGKAGCAGTGGCATCACTATGCCTATTTTAGGGGGGCTGGAGATCCTCTTTGGTGTGTCGTTATCCAATCCTTCCACTTGTTCATATAGAGTGTATATAAGTGTATTTATGTGTGTGTGTGTGTGTGTGTGTGTGTGTGTCCTGGGGGCGAAGCCCCCCTTGTCCTTAAAACCTAGTGACACCCCTGCTTGGTAGCATCAAAAACTGTTATTATTATGTGAAAGTCACATTCTAAATATATGCTTAACATTTATATTTTCATTATCTGTTAACCAAAAATTTTGTGTTTATATGTTGCAGGAGTTTAACTCATAAAACGATTGATTTAATCTTATTTATCAACCAAACTGATCCAAATGGTCCTCATTGTGGAAACTTTTTAGTGCATTTTTTGCCACAAAGTCAGCTGTTAATATTTAGTTTTCTCTTATTTATATTAAAAAGGGCCTTTAAATTATGTATTAGGATGTCAAAATGCTTCTGCTCAGAATTTTTTTATGTTTTGCTGAAATGCATAAATGCTGCCGGTCTCAGCTATTCAATTTTTTTTTATTATTCTGCAACGACAGCAAACTAGAGTTTCAAAATTAAACCTGTCAAAACCTGCAAACCTTGAGGAAGCAACTTATAAAGTCACAATTAAAGTGTGGATTGAGCTGCAGAATGTCACTGAGGATCAGCAGCTGACCGCCTCGTTGCAYAACTTTCATTTCGCCGGCATCACACAAACCTCACATGTTCCAAACACAGCTTCAACAAGTATCCTGCCATGCCTGGCTCCATTTCAGTGTAATACTTTATGGAAGGATTCCAGTGAGCAGCACCTTCGCTGACAGCTGGTCGGTAACTTAAGAAGAAGTATCAGGTTGAACAGTTACCGGTGTTGTTTAGTCCGAACAATAAAGGGCAGGAGATGGCAAACGAGAGGAACCAGACCACGGAGATCATCACGGCCACCCTCCTCCTGGAGCTGTATCTGGTGTTGTAGAGCAGCGGCATGGCCACGGCTGTGTACCTGCAGCAACACACGCAACATTAACATGCCGCTCACACGCGTCGGAACACACACATCAATACGGACGGAACACGTTCTGATACAGTCGTGTTCGCACATATTTTAAAGCAGACTTGACGCACAAATCTGCCCCCGTTTCCCTTCAGAAAGTCAGAAAGATCAGTTTTTGTTTCAGAGCCACAAGGACGCAACACACACGGTCAAAACCAGTCGATGGTGTTTGCTGCAAGGCAGGTGGGAKCAGGTTTTAAAGTGAGCAGCTTAAATCGTAGCAGAAGGTCAAGAAGAAAATAACAGCTTAATWTATTTCTTTAATATTTGTCGGTTGTGTGCAAGAGTCTCATTYGTAAACGCTTTACCAAGGCCAACAAATTGTCATACCAAACCTTTTTTCCTGTCTTTCGGTTTATAATTCTTGAAATGTACCAGAGAACAAACACATTTTATTGCTTTTAAAGATGGCTCAGTTAGGAAAGTTTTTCACATGCTGGCTTTCTCAGGACTCCATCTCTGTTATTTGCRGATGACGTCCTGTTGGCGTCATCGTGCCRCGATCTTCAGCTCTGACTGAAGCAGTTYACAGTCGAAYGTGAAGCRGCTGGGAGGAGGATTCGTGGTCCTYAATTGGCAAAGGGAGGATTGTTGTCTCCGGATTGGGGGTGAGGTTCTGCCTGAGCATAAATACTGCCAGATTTTTATTTTATACTGCATTCCTTGCTCTCACTTCACCCGCCGTTACGAGCAGAAAAAAAATCTCAGGTTGGCCTGCAATGCATTATGGGATATGGTGGGCCAATCCATCGGACCCATCCCTCAATCAACACTCAGGGCTTTTTTTTTATTCTTGCTAATTACACAAATGTGTTTTTGTTCTTTTCAGACTAGTTGGGTTGTTGTGTATTTTAACATTATTCAAATAATAATCATGGCATATTAGATTGACTAAAAAGCCGCATATTAGATTGACTAAAAAGCCTTTTATTTCCCAAATAAATCAAATGAATGTAAGCTGTTGAATACACCTCATCAAACTCAAACTCAGTGCATTGACATTAAGCAGACATATTTATCTTTTGTTAACCCAACATTTACTTGTTTAAAGTAGAGYGCCCTCATTGTGTCACTTTGAGAAATTAGAGCACAGCTGCAGATGCTTTGCCCACTTGGTGTCTGGTCACCTCTCCTGGGACCCATGAAAAGGGCATCAGGTGGAAGATAAAATCATTAAACATAGTCTCTGTGTTTTTCTGTGAAAACAAAATGTAAAACAAGCGACAGCAGAGGACACGAGGACAAAACACCACTGTGTCCCCTGCTGGACAAACAAATGATCACACTGTGAGGGGGGGTTCTGATGGATGAGATATATTGTATTTAAAGTTTGTGTTTGCGCTTTTTTTTAGGTTTAATGTTAACATTCACACTTGATCAAATCAACCCTTAGAAAAAGGTTGTTTTTGTGTTTATTTTTTCTGAAATGCTCATGGGATCATGATCAGTACTGGATCCCACAAAGAAAACACAAATGAGCAAAGATACCAAGAATATCAGATGTATCTATAACATCAAAAACCAGCTTTAAGTTTTTCCACATGATCTGTTTTCTTAAACTAATGTAATAATAAACACGATTTTTTATTTAACTCCTCTCTGCCTCTCCTCTCACACAGCATGACGTTTCCCAGAAAAGGTTTGCCTTCAGCTTTAACATCAGATTATTTTAGCCCGCAGCAATGAGGATTACAGTAAGGGGAGAACAAACGGTTTCACAAAAATGWATGTACATGTTAAGTATTTTGTTTCTGAAGTGAAATGCGGGGAAAATATGATCATGAAATAACTTTCCGCTTGCTTTAAAGTTATTCTGGAATGTAGGATGAAGAAAGAACAGAAAGTTTATATATTAAAGGGGAACYAAAGAGAGTCAGAAAGAAAACATGTTTTGTTTTAGTCAATATCTAATTGATTTCACATGATTTAGYTGGAGCTTTTCTGGTTTTGTTGTTGGTTCCTGTGGGTTTTTGGGTTTGWTTATTTGCAGTCTGTCATTTTTTCCTCAACCTGATTTTGTCTCTGATTATCATTTCAGCTCCTCCTCTGTTGTGCTGCTAATCAACCTGAACTCCTCTGTTGTCTCAGCTTTTGTCTGGTTTTGTTCCATCAGATCATCTCTGTGGGCCTGACTGTCTGGCCTTCCTCCTTGTAATTATTCTTYAGGTTGTTTTTGTTTCTGCATTGACTGACATGAGGAAAGTGTAAATCCACCTGTCGATGCTGATGGCGCACAGGTTGAGGATGCTGGCGGTGCACATCATGACGTCCAGAGTGAGCATGATGTCACAGTGGATGAGGCTGAACCTCCACTCTCCCACCACCTTCAGAAACACAAAAAAAGACGTTCAAGTCATWTCTCGTCCTCTGTAATGTCTCAGGSYCATTAATGTATTTACTTAATTTTAACAGTTTGGCTCAGACAACCAGTCTACTGGAGCAGATGCATCAATATTTAATTCTTGCAAAACACATTAAAACCTGATACAACCTCCAGCTGATAGTAAAACCTATGKGCTGATGAATTAAGCGTTCAGTTTGGTGTTTGTTGAAATACAGGACATAAAAAGCAAATTATAATGGCTTAAAGGTATAAAATAAGGTGTAGACCTCATTTTAATTATTTATTTGCAGAAAGATTAGAACTCTTTTTTTACACTGAACTCACTGCTTAAAGTACTTACTCTATTAATAAAGGATTTGGGGTGGGGGGTGGGCAGTTAGATTTAATTATAAGTTAAGGACTTACCGTATTTATTTGTGTTTAATTTGATCTCATGTATAATACGACCCCCACTTTTTTAACGTAAAAAGCATCTAAAAATTAAATCCTACCTTTAATTTCATACGGACTTCAGGATTTTTCAGTCTTTACAGGCTTTATTCATATTAGTAAAATGATCATTTGACTGTTGTGGTTATATTTCTTTTATTTTAACAACATATGTACTATAAAGTATTTTGACARCAAATGCATATCAGCAAACTCTTTGATTGTAGCAGCAGCATATGAATGCCGGTGATGTGCGAAATTCAGTTCCCCTGCCAAAATCTGTTCCCCCCCAGGTGGTTAACCTTAGAGAGAATCACTGGTCCAGGCACAACAGACCAATCCTAAATGGTTAATATGAGGGAGGCGCTCCCAACACAGGGGGAACAGATTTTCACAGGGGAACTGAACTTTGTACAACACCAGTATTTAGAATAAGAACAGACAATTTTACACACCGTCCACTAGAGGGCGCCATAACAAATCTCAGACACCACGTGAGATTTGTGCCATATTCGGTGACTCCTACTCATGAGCGCCCCCTCTGGTAAATAAATATTTTTTGGGGGAAACCTACTTTTGCACATCACCGGTAAACGGCAGCCAGTACAGACAAACGTGTGTTTGTTGTTGTTCCAGGAGAGGCCCAGTCGTACATTAATGTCATTAGTTCATTATTATTACTAACCTGCAACACTGCTGTTTTATTTATTTATTTATTTTCCAGGAGAGGCCCAGTCGTACATTAATGTCATTAGTTCATTATTATTACTAACCTGCAACACTGCTGTTTTATTTATTTATTTATTTATTTATTTATTTATTTATTTATTTATTTATTTATTTATTTATTTATTTTCATATCATGGAGGTAAGCTCACTTCAACCACTTTTTGTGACTTGGTCTCATTTCCAGACTCTCATTTTCTTGGCATTTTGTGAGTGAGGCTAATATTTCAGTTATAAACAAGAAAATACACTGGCAAAAAAAATCCATGTACAGTACTACCCCCAACTTTGTGGATGATTTTATAGATTTAATTTTTCGTATCATACTTGCATAAATACAGTAAACAAAATCATTTGTTCTGAAAGCAAGAACTGCTGCTTCCATTGGTTTTAATTAACACACAAGCACAGACRCACACACACACCTCGAGGTAGACGCCCCATGGCATGACCAGTGTTGCCAGCAGCAGGTCGGACACAGCCAGGGAGACGATGAGATAGTTGGTGGTGGTCTGCAGAGCGCGTTCCCGCGACACCGCCACGCACACCAAGACGTTCCCGAACACCACGCAGAAGATCAGCAGGACTAACAGCACGGCGTAGAAGTTGTACGGAGGGGAGGGAGGTGTCAGAGAGCCGGTGCAGTTTGAGGAGGTCATCAGGGAGGAGGAGGTGGTGGGGAAGGACACTGAAGAATACGAAGGGTCATGGGTGACAAAAGCTGAGAAATTGTTCTCSTCCCCTAAAGAGGAGGAGAGGGCGAGGAAGGGGGAGGAGGAGGTCTGGTCCGACTCGTTGGCTAAAGTCATGATCTCGCTCCAGTGAGCATGGTGAAGCTGAAAATTGATAACACAAAGAGAGGAAGAGGGGATAATAATTACCATGGGACCTAGCAAGACCCAGCTTTCATACAAGTCACTTTCTCTCAATAGATCCAACAAARACTGGCCTCGTCTTCTGACAGCAGAGGAAATTAAAGAGGGAAGGCTACTATCACATCAGGACTGGAGCTTTCTTTGGTCTCACCTCAAAAACACAAAAGCAAAGAAGAATCCAAAAGGACAAATAGAGCATCCTACCTGCGTCGACAGGTCGACTGATAACAATGTATATTGWTGCCTGAAATGACTGCAGRCAGAGCTGAGAAAAGTGTCTCTACRTGTTCTGTTTGGTTCCTGGTTCACTAAAACACTAACTAGTCTTGTGCAAAAATATGACAGATAAACTGGTAGAGCTTCAATCCAATAATAATCCAACGGAAACAAGCAAAATATGACAAAACATGTCAACACAGCTAATTGTCAACTCTTACTCTACAGTATTAAAAAGTTCCAATATAAGCWAACTTTAGTGTGACTAAAACACTCTAACATAATTTAATAATTCCCACCGAGATGATCTGGAAGAAGTAAGTTGACTTGGCCAGACATGTTCTGGTTTTAAATCTGGTGAAATTATTGAGCAAACTTGATCAATTATTGGTCCACCAACCTCATCAAACACCAGGTAAAACTTGTAAACAAAACTGATTTACAGATTATTGTCTGCACAGATTGGACCATCATTTCCACATGTGTGTCCTCCCATAGCAGAGAGGTGTGGGCCAGACCTTGTGTCAAGCTGGCATTGCTGGCATGGTAAATGATTTGTCAASAGSATGTGGGCCMGGTSTGGCAGTGATGGCACTGCTTTTAAGAAGGCATGTCACAACTGACCCAGTTGTGGTTTGGTTTACGTGGCTCAAATCTGACTATGCCATAAGGCCACCATTCTTTGCTGTATCTGGATTCAGAATTAGTCCATTGTGTGGACCAGAACTGTTCCAGACATCTTTTAGTTTGTGTGATTAATCACTGTTTGCAAAAACATAATGAACAAAAAAATCACATCCACAAACATCAGTGAAGAGCAAGGCAATTAATATGGTAATCAACTTACAGCACTTGATATTACATACAGTGTAATGTAAGAAAACCTGCAGACTGCAGTCTTTATAGCTTCTTCAGTGATAAATAAATACACATAAAAACTTGTGTGAATCAGTTAGCATTAAAAGTTCTTTAAAGGGTAAATATATAAAAGCCACTGTTAGTCATTAAATGCATGTTGTTGTATACCTGAAGTCTCTAGGAGTTGCAGAAATGTTTAATTAAGTCTCTCCTGGTGCTGTGTATACCTTTATATTTTGTTTGGTTCATACTCTGTTCTGTTTTCTCTGTTTTCTATGACATTTTCTGAACTATTACATCCAATTGCGGGTTTGCACCTCATTTTGATTGAAAGAGACAGCATCAAAATGAGTTGATCAGAGACACACCTCAGAAAAGGGGAGAAAGAGGGGCATGTGGAGTTACAATAAGGAGACATTCAGACCAAAACATTGAAATTCCACTTTATACAGACCCCAACTGAATGATTTAAATGTGAAAAAGGATTTAAAAGCAGATGTCTCCTTTAACAGATGTGTTAATCTGTGTCCTGTTCACTGATGCTCATGTCGTGGATAAACCAACAACCAGATGTTTTTTTTGCATCACTGATCTGTAGAACGTGACACTCAGTCCTTCTCAAAGATTCTGACATTTAGATTTGTGAGGCCATATAATGCTGACATTTCCTCCTATCTTCTAAGACTTCTTCAGATTTATTTACTTAAATGTTCATATTTACATGTTGTGGGGTACGTTTTGTAGCAGAGATGTCCTTTGCCTGCGAACAGGGTGTAAACTGCCCCTCAAGGGGATTATTGCTCAGCTGTCCTCTAATCCTGCGTTTCATGGCYATCGGTGGAGAAAGGTTGAATTAATTCCACTTGAGGGGTGAGCTTAGGACAGAATGGCTCTTCTGACCAAAGAAAAATGAAAAGGCAGGTGTTCTGACGTGCAAACTGTCCCTCACACCTGTTTGTTGGCGAGCCTGGGACATTGATGGGAAATGAGACAGGACAAGATGGATGAGAAAGACTGACTCTGATGATGAATGTAAAACTGAATAAGGAAACCTGGAAAGTTTTTTCTTTTTTTTTTATTTTCACTGAAATCGGCAATTATTATGACTTTTATAGAGGGGAGACATGATGATGATTGTCGAACTTCTCCCCTTCTCCACTTTTATGTTCAACAACCAGGTTGGATTATGTTTTCCWCGGTCGTACAACGCCAAGGAGAAGGTAATCTAAAATATTTATTACAAACAGGGAATGGATATGGGCCACTGACATAAAGCATCTCTGCATGAAATCCCCGGTCAGACTGAAGGTCATGAATAAATTTAAAGCCTCAGACAGTCTCTGCTGTTGATCTGCATTGATAATCCACACATTGCATGATGTGCTGGACTTAAATCAGCCAGTGACCTCTCAGGTGAACTCCCACCTGTTGACCTCAAAACTACAGTAATGTCCGAAGGAGCAAACTGATGTAAAGACAGCAGAGACCAGAGTCTCTTTGCTGCCTGGGCCTTATGCAATGTGATGAATACCATCTGGAAGAGTGTGTCGCTCCATTAAACCAAATRTATGGAAACAGAGAGTGGACATTTTYCACTGCTAATTTTTTTCYATGGTTTTCTCGTGWTTACGAGGGCTYATCGTATAAAGACACAGCATGTTGTTATACAACSAGCATTTTCTCGAGATAATTTCTCTGTGGTTTTCTTAAGCTAACGAGTTATGGTTTTCCTYTTTATTCTACTCTATCATTTGGTAATCATGGAGACGGCTTGTTCCCCCCAGCTGGTCACCAGTAGCTGCATTTCCATTGCAAATGTACGCAAAACGTTGTARATATTCTGTTAATGTCGAAAAACACAGTTTCGCAACTGCAATGTTTCCATTAAGTAAGAAATGCTATTAAAGTCATGTGTGAATACGTTTATTCTCGTGATAAGACATTACAAACATGGCGGCAATGGATGTAAACACATAGCACATTGCTACCACGACACTAGCGCTCATCATCAGAGGAGACGACGGCGTCTTTTATCGAGGCTTTCCAGCAACAAGTCCGTACTTGGGAGCGGCTACGTATGCTGCGTTTTTGGGAAATTGTAGACGGTGAGTTTACTACTTTCTTTTACTACTTCTGTACTGTTACTTTTACTTCTACTGCCTGTTATCTTCTTYGTCGTAGTCTTTTTCACCAGTAGAAACAGCCAGTTGTTGATCATGTGACTCCCATGATGCGAAAAAAGTGTTTCCATTGCAGTTTTGCGAAAAACACCAATTTCGACACGGCTGAAAAACCACCTCATCCTAACGCAAAAATATTTTGTCGAAAAACTTATTTGTTTTTCGAAATTGAGGTGTTTCCATTGAGCAAATTTATTTTCGAAATTCTAATTTGCGCATTTTCATGGTCAAGGGAAACACAGCTAGTGAAGTTTATTATAACAGTGTTTCCCAAACTTTTTATCTTCTGACCCACAAAATATCCGTGGCTTAAACTTGTGACCCCAAATATTACTGGTCTGGGTACACGAACTTCATTAATAACCCTAAAAACACAGACTTTTTGACAATATAAACAGCTTGTACACAAATATAAATACTTATTTGTGGTTATTTTGTGTTTTTGTAATAGTTACAGGGAAAATATTACATCAGCAATTACTGTATTTTATTACCCTTTAAATTGATTTCTGGAGATTATCCAAGGTGCTTCATGACCCATAATTGGGTCCCAAGCCCAACTTTGGGAACCAAAGTGCAGTGGTTCCCAAACTTTTCAGCTTTTGACCCACAAAATAACAGTAGCAGAGACCTGTGCCCCCAACTATTTTTGGATGATAAACATTTGTATCAGGTCAACTAAACATGGGCATAGTCACAATATTTTTTATACTACATTTATCCATTTTAAATATACTAACCTCACTCCGTTGTAACAACTAAGGCAAAAATGTAATTAATTCAGAAAATCTTTTCAGGACCCCACCTTGATGTTTCAGGACCCCACTTTGGGTCCCAACCCCAACTTTGGAAAACACTGTATTACAACACAGGTTGAAATTGCAGTTTGTCTTGTACAGATAACTCATATCAGCACTCATTTAAGGAGACAACTGGCTCGACTGCAGCTCAACATGCATTTACACTTAAGTGATCCTGCTGATGTAATAAACTTTGTCAGTAACCARCTGAGGGGACCTGGCCGTTCCATATGGTTACCGAATGATACACAAGAGGAAATCCATAACTCGTTATCTCGAGAAAAACATCGGGATATTAACTAGTTATCTTGAGGAAACGCTCCTTATTTCATGATAACAACATAATATTATCACAAGAAAACCGTGGAAAAACATTATCWGTAGAAAACGTCTGCTTTCGGCTTCTTTACAAATGTGCCAACGCTGTGTTGCATTATATTTATACATAATAACCAATTTAAGAGTGTTGGATTCATTATAGAAAGTTTAGCAAACTGGTTTCAGTTGGTGAAGKTGATATTTGCAGCATTTCTGCAACCACATTAAAAACCATCACATGCAGCCCTAGACAAAAATTTCCTATTTACAGTTTGTTCAGGGTTTTCATTCAAATTCCAGTTGTAATTAGGCAAACATTGTCCAAACAAAAGCGTGCAATACCTAATCTTCTTGGCAGAGCAATATAAAAATGTACCTAAAGCTTKATTTTTCTGAACATTTCCCCAGTCACACCTGTGGACTAAACCTAACAAATCTCACTTCTCTTTCTTCCAGAAATTTGTTCGAAAAAACATCAAAGCCCCCAAAGACAGAGCAGGAAAACAGCTATTAGTTAATAACATCCATCAGTGCTTTGCTTCACTAAAACTGCTGCAGTCAATAACGAGCTTGGAGTATGACAGCTTCA